GGATCTCAATTTTTACGCGTCCCGGCGTGAAGGGGTTAAGCAGCTCTGTGAAATTGGGTCATGCAGCATTTGCTTATTCTTGAAGCTTTTACATTTTACCTCTGATTAAATGCTTTTGCTGTTGTTGGTGCATCAGAACTGATGATCTTTCTCTTGCCGTATAAATGTTGTACTTCTGTGTTTGTGTCAAGGAGCCTAAAATACATGTACACAGTTTCAGGGCTAAATATAATCTGCAACTTTACCTTAATACATTGATTTGGGAATGATATGGCAGATTTTAATAAAAACAATCAGTTGCAAAAAGTTTGTAGATCCATTATTCGTATTCATTTGAACACTTTTACACATATTTTTGACTATTTATCCTAACCATGCTAACCAGATTTAAAGTGCTCTGACTTGTACTTGTTATTAGAAGTACTATACTCGTACTCAGAGGTACTTATACATGAAAATCACTTCTTGTACTCGGCTGGTAAAGTACTCAGACCTTCAGATACTCGGAAATTTAAGTACTCGGCAGTACTCTGTACTCGGAAAAAGTACTTGACTACAACACTGCCAGTAGGGCAACAGCACTCAGTGTGTTAGGCTGTGGTTCAGATTGAAACACAGCTCTCGTGCTCCTTGTGTTTCCTCCACATTGAGAATGGGGGAAGGGGGTTACAGGCCACCTCTTCTCCCAATTCTCTCCTTACCCCCGAGACAAAAATTAGTGTTAAACAGCAGAGCTCCGTTACTTTCATTCCCACATGGGGTGAAAGGCTGGTTGGTGTTAAATTATTTATTTCCTTTCCTTTAATCTTTTGGGGAAAGAAGGGGTTGGTGTGGGCAGGTTGTGAAATATCGGCAGCACTCTCAGCAGGAAATTAGTGGGAGGTTCATCTGCAGCGGCTACTGAACCACTACCAATCACTAACTTGGAAAGGACACAGGACTGCGAGCAACAGTGCGCATGCATCGCTCACTGGGTCCCAAGACTTACCTTCACTTTAGAAAAAAAATCCTCTAAATCATTGAATGACAAAAAAGTGCAGCTCCATTATTAGGAGTATTAATAGATTAACCCTAACAGTCCTGAATGCTACAAAGTACTACTTAGTAGTAAAATGTAGTACTCAGCTCTGTCACTTGTAAGAGGACATGACATTATTATTCTCCTAAGCCATAAAATACAATAGAGAAGACAATGTACCACACAGCTCTGTGGCACTATGAATGCATGGTTTCATTGTTTTCTCTACGATTATCAATGGAATAAACCTCGCCAGAAATAGTAATTTGTAGTGCTAGGTCCTTCGGGCTCAGAGTGTTACGCAGTATTTTGTAGTACTGAGTGCTCTAAGACAAACAGTGCCTGGTACTGTTAGTGTTAAAGGCATTAGAATAAAGAAAAGAGACAAACTGCCTTGTCAAAGGATCAGACCCATGTAACCTGACCTGGTGGTACACAGATACCAGGGCTATCCACTAGACCATTGAGATATTTTGACAGCCATCAATATTTGAAATGTAATACATGTAGCATTATTTCAAATAAAAATCAAGATCTGACGAGTGCATGTAACTGCTGGTTCCATCGCCTTGCAAAATTAGGGACGGGTACCGGTTGCATGGCAACTTTTCTTCAGCACGCGCACATGTACATGTATCAAATGCTTTTTGGTGGGTGATCTCCAACAAATCCCTTGTTTTTGTTTGAATGATGCCTCCCCCCACCACGGGAAGGAAGCATACATAGGCCTTTTCACACTACTCTAACACGCCTCACAACTCAACCCTGGGCAAGCCCACGGTCGCCCTGGGTTGGAAATTTGATTTTTCAGTCCTGCATCCAACCCTGCATTGTTTTGCACACTTGTTCCGTGTGAATTGAGCTTATCAGGGCGAGTTCGACCCGGAAATGAGCACAAACGCTTTTCAACCTGGGTTGAAAATTCTCGGCCCTGGTCCGTAACAAGTTTGAGTTCAACCCGGGTTGAAGTCAATCTCGGACTTGATGCAGCTGACAGTTGGCGCAGGGTTAAAAATTTTCAAGTGTGAATCGCCGCCAGTTTTCAACCCTGCGTCGACCCTGACATTTGTCTAGTGTGAAAAGGCTATATCCCTTTGCCTGTCTGTCACAGGCAGTAACTTCAGACTTACAGACATAATCTTGACTTTTCCATCTTCCACCTCAACCAAGCCATGATTCCTTGAAACTCGTTTGTCGGACACCTGAATTGATGGACGGAAGTAGAAACAAGAATAGTATTATTACATCCTGCAATACAAATCTTTATCTAGGCATTGTATGAAAGGCAAGAGTTCTGTATAAATCCACCACATAGGCTGCTCACTATCACATAATCACACCTTTCCTTGTTTGTTTTGAGAGTAACTATAGAATACAGGGCCATGCGTGAATATACCCCCAGAATCACTGGCTACACTGTCGCGTCGGATCTGTAGAAACAATGTGGTTTGGGGATGTGTGCACAAAGAGAACGGGAAGAGGGCAGAAAAAGTACAAGTCAAAACTGTGTGCCTGGTTGGTGGCTATGCAGCTACAATGGCGAGAGAGTTCGTTTTAAGAACGGAGCAACACAAAATGAATGGAGATGGTCGAAAAAAATCTAAGTCCAAACCTTAACCAACTAAATACCCAGGCGATGTCGCCCTCTTGCAGTGGCAAAGAAAATGCTCCCTCTTTTATTACACTTGACCTTTGACCTCTTAGCTGGCTATGAGGTGGAACAGGTGAGTGGCCCTGTATTCTATGGAGCAGCCTGGATATCCGGTAGTTTCACCAAATTGCGGGTATCAACCACACTGCGCCGATGAAAACAACTGCAATGAGCGCATGCGCACGGACTGATTAAAGAAAAGACTGTGTAACCCATTCCTGGGACTGGCTGGTGTGTGCGTACATCGCCATGGTAGCTGTTTCTGAAGTTGATTCAGGTCATATTCTAAAAACTACTTTGCATTTTAAAAACTAAAAATCATAGTCATATGATCTAGAACAAATGATTAGAACTCTGAACCGAGATCAGAAATTTTGGGAACGGAAATTTAAAAAAAAAAGAGAAACATTGTTAAAATATAGTGTAAGTAAAGATTTTTTTGTGTCTTGCAAAAATCCAATACTGATTAAAAAACAGAAAAATATTTAATAAAAAACCACGAGTTCCCACACCGGGAATCGAACCCGGGCCACGGCGGTGAGAGCGCCGGATCCTAACCACTAGACCATATGGGATTGCTCCCTTGCTTAGGAAATGTATGCAGTAATAACACGTGCGTTACGTGTAACCACTCACGACAAAAATCTCACCCCTAAAACAGGACCTCGACCAATAACCGTTTTCCCCAGCGGTAGAAGAAAGTTTGAACGTCCAGCTTCTGACTCCGAGATCGGTTTCAGTTCAATTCCCGACATCGCTGGAAAACTCAGTTGCGGTCGTTGTGGGATATCACTTGAGTCGTGCACGCGCGCTGCAGTCTGCACGTATTAACACAGTACACATGGGGGCCAGTGCCTTCCAAACAATGGCCTCTTGTTGCGTGTTTGCGCACTTTACATCAGGCCTACTCATTAGCTAGGCCTACTCCAATTCCAAAGGGACACAAAGGGAAGTGCACTATTTCCGAAAGTTCCACGACACAACGAACAATCTTGTTTCAAAGCTACACGCTGATTAAAATCCGTTCTAAGGACGTAAACAATTCTATTTCCACCGCAGAAGCTGACGTTTCAGCTGTGTTTACTATTTGCCTCGCGTACGTTAAGACGGCGCGGCAGTTTTTGCATGCACGTTGATCGCACTGCCCTGTTTGCATGGTTTCCCGCACTCGGCATTTAGCATAGTACGCAAGCGGGCACCAGTGGCAGGGTATGATCGATGACCACTTATACAGTCACGGGCCAGCTTACTAGCAGCTGTGATAATTGCCCCTGTCATGTTATAAATGTATTTTATTCAAGAAATATATTGTAAGTCTTATAAGATGTTTAACGTTTTCCTGGACAGGATATGGTCTGAAGCAGTGGTTTCTTCAGAGACAACTAATTAATTAACCGAGCCGTCGGTAGGCGCCCCTACTTCCATTAGTCATATGCATAGGCATATCCAATCCCATTTTAAAATTTCCTTTAAGTTGGCACAAGTAGCTTGTTCCAGAGAAGAAATGCGAGCCAGGGTAAAACTTGCATTACCAAAATCCCAGTAGCTACAGGCCCATTCTTTTCCAGGAGGGGGAGGGTCAAAGTACTCAGCTGAGATATCGAAAAGGAAAATAACTGCTTGAGGGGGGTCAGTTTGAAGTTTTGTTTTGTTATTTTCAAGCAAACTTTTGATTTCATGTTTTCTTGTGTCTTCCCCCGGCAAACATTTCTTTCACTTTTTTCTTCATTTTTGCAATTTTTGTTCCAGGGGCGGCAGCAAGCCCCCTCCCCCCTCCCTGCGGTGAACAACATTCAAGGTCAACACGGAGGGGACAAGAGAGTTTGCCCCTCCCCCTCCGTAACGGAAAATAAAACAGGATTGAAACTCGAAAGAAACGACAGAATTGATAAAAGGACAATTTGCTTGAAAAGGGCAACTGAATTGACCTTCTACCGTCAGTTTGCTGTTGACCGCCTCCCCTTCGGATACGCCCATGAGCATATCTTTTTGAGATGGTGCATACCAACAGCCATGATACCCACGTCAGGGGCGGATCCAAGATTTTTCCAAGGGGGGTGTGATCCCGAATTTTCCAAAGGGTGAGGGGCGTGAACAGAAGCGGCAATGGTAAAATGACCGTGAGCATACAGTGCGTCTGTTGAGATCCGCCTCGATGCTAGTCATACTTGAGACGCGGGACCCAGGGGAGCAGAACTTCAACGGTCCACCACTGCCGCCGAATCCCATTTCCAAAGAACATTTCAGGGAATGCCTGGCTCTCCACTTTCTGACATGATCGTCTTTGCCTCAAAAAAATTACTCTCGAAAAGAATGAGTCCCTTATAAAACTACCCAAATGAGTGAAAATCTCCCTAAAAAGCGGGGAAAAATCTCTAAAAGACTGAAATTTCCACTCTGCCAAGGAACTATATAAAATCGAAAAAGAGTTGCCCTGGTCATGTCAGGAGCCCACCGAAGTTGTAATTTTAGTTTTTATTTTCTGAAAAACAAAGATACAATAGGGGGGCCTATACGCCTACATCTCAAACTATACCAGCTCCGATAAAGCTGTGCATCCCGTGCAGTCCGCTGGCGCAGCGATGGAGCAGGGCTTGAGCATTATGAGCTAGGCTCAAGGGGTGTCCAAGCCCCCTCACCCACGACAAATCCAAGGTGCACCACTTTGTGGAGATGAATTTTGCGATCCGCCGAAACTTGGTGATGATAAGTGTCATAGTAGCGTCTAAAGTGTCGGCATCTCAAAATCCAGTGCCATGGCCGTGCACTGTTCTTGATGGGCGGTCTTGATACGAGCAGATTA